GATTTATGGAAGGTGTTCCAACCAACATGCGATAACTGTGAATAACACCTTTTTGTCAAAATGTTTGTTCTAAACCAGCACACTTGACAACAACACATGACTTGAAATGTAATTTCTATGCATGTGTTTTATTGTATACCATTGAAATACATGTAAATTAAATACTATTTTTTAGCAAAGAAAAATAATATTCAAACTTCATTACATCTTCAAAGCGTACGTTGACTTTCAAGCGTAAGTAAACTTACATAAGGCTTCAATTTAATTAATTTACAGTTAAAAGAAAAATAAAAGTCGGCAACACGTCGCATAGCCTTCAAGATAAATCATAAATCATAGAGGCTCTGAAATAAAAGCTCAAATCTATAAACATTCCTAATTAATTACCTGGATACGAGCAAATGGTTTCAAGAAATGTTCTTTCAAGGAATATTTGTAATGCATTGTCACTACATTGTCACCTACAATGTTACTAGTGTAGGTACATTTTCGCACCTAATGTTCTACGATTTGTGATATTAAATTAATTAATATTAAGGTAAACAATGAGAAAGCATTTTCAGGATATCCAACTGCCTCTGCCTCTCAAATTATTTTAAAGACTGACACCGCATCAAACGATGAGCTGGAAATTCAAATTTGCTAATTCAATTTCTTTTCCAATTTACGCAAAAAATACTAACAATTTTGAAAAACCGAATATGACCTTACTTGAAAATCTGCTTTTATGAACAAGTTTCATTAAAAAATGTATCTCTACAATTGTTGTAAGTAGAAGCTTACTTTTTTATATTATTTTTTAAATTTTTGCAAAATGAGGCATTTCAAGGAACATGAGATTCTCACGATTCTCTTAAGCAGCAATCGCCATCTAAGTTCTTAATTTAATCAAAAAATGTTTTGAGGTTTTTAAGAAAAGTTTAAAGAAAATAAAAATTGTTTCTTTGACGAAATATTTCGCAAAAAAACTCATGTTTTGGAAATATTTAACATGACATTATTTAAGATGTTTTTATGAAGACATATCATTAAGAAAAAAATATTTAAACTAAATTAGATTTGGCTATAGTTCACTCAAAAGTTACTCAGACAACACTCAGACGTGGAATGTGTAATAACTTCACATGTAAAAGTCATGCAATGCAAAAATATTTGTGAAAAAAATTGTCAAAGTAAAAGTGAAAATAATGATGTGTAAATCTAAAAAAAACTGCAAATTTCTTGTATTTGTAAAGGGTATAGTCGTACATAAAATATGATTAGTGTAATCAATATATACTAACAAGTTAACATCTTTCTTTTGATCATTTGTTTCTACTTTAGACTCATTCTCATCCTCAAAAGTCTCACTCCTAGTTACCATGAAAAATACATTATTAATATAACAATACTGTGCAAGAGGCTCGTACCTGACCTCCGCTTGGCGCACTACGCGCGCCGCGGGCCCACTCATGTCCCGGAACTTAATGCGCGCTGTCGAGACACTTTTGTTCAACAGACTTTGTCGGACACCAAAATGTCAATCTTCAAGTTTCAAGTTTTTTTTAAACTTTCGAAAAATAGGAGATGTCAACGCAAAAGAGATTTCCCCCATTCTCTTAATCGCCCTTTGCACTATTCAACAACAAAATTTAACCAAAAAATTCGGATCCTTTTGTTTTTTGAAAATGGCCAAATCTTCAAGTACCCCGTAATATTAAAATATCTGTTTTAAATCCCAGGTTCTGCGACATCAGCTAAATCGATTGTGGATCAATTTTGGAGAAAATCAGCAGAACGGTATATGCCCTAGCGTTGTGCAGACAGACGGAGAGACGGCCAGACAAACGGACACAGGCATTTTACCGTCAATGAATTTTTTGTTATGAATGACAAAACAAGGAGTCTGGCTGCACCACGTTTTGTGGACTTTTTTCTGTATTTAGCAACTGGATTTATCTACTTTTTATCAGGGTCCAGCAACAAGAGTTTCGGGGCACAAATTCGCGGTTCTCTGGCGCACAATTATAATACTTTCTCTTCTTAGTAAGTGCGAGAGTGTAAACTAGTAGTGCAACAGGATGGCACTGACTTTCTGGTATTATTTTCCCATTTTCTTTGGTCAGAAATAACAATTATAACTTTCTCCATTCTCTTACCAGGTGCCATCTATCGACGCCCAAAATACATTATTTTGAAATTTTCTCAATTTTTGTTTTTTTAATCAAAGGTCAGAAATACTACTTTAAGAATTTAAAAGAAGAGAAATTCTCGTACTAAATGGATTTTTTTTGAAAAATTTGGACTCTTTTGAAGAAAGTGTTTTGTAAGCGTTACTGTGAATGTGAAAATTGAGTCTTGAATTGAAAACTATTGAATTTTCGAAAAACTTCATTTCAAATCATTTCAAGCACTTCCAGTCACAAATGCAATAATTTTAACGAAGCGCTATAAATATGCACATTAAAGACGTGTGAGATTTTTCAAAAAATTACCTTTCTGTAATTTTTGAAAAATAAAAATACAGAAAAATGAACTTGTCATATTACTCAGTGCAGTTAGGACTATTTGTTGAAAAAGTTTGAAGAAAAAAATTCGAGATGTTTTTGAGAAAATAGAGCTTAAGCGGTTCTGAAAATACAGAATTTTGAGCTTATTTTAACAAAAAACTGTTGGGTTATTGGATTATCCTGTACATCTATTTCTGCTCACCGGGCCTGGTTACAGGCGGGTGAGCTCAGAAAACTAGACTGTAATTTTACTGATTTAATTGATTCAATGCAAAACCATACAAAGCTTTATGAATAGTTCTAATTGAAGGTTACTTACGATTAAATGAGGATGATTTAACACTAGCAATTGGTAATAAAGTAAAGTAATATGAACTAATAATAAAAAAATATTTAATTTATTGATGTTTGCACCACTGAAATTAGTTATTGTGAATGTTCAGTTTAGAGTATGGTGCGTCATTAATGAAGTGCTATTATACAATCGTTTTGGAATTTACATTATTTCAAAGTAAGTTAAAATCAGCAATTCAGGAATATGATGATTACTTGTCAATTGAATTAGAGACTGTCATTTTGTTTTCCTTATTCATCTATAAATAGTCTGGATGGCAGCAGTTGCTCGTTGGTGACTTCAAGATAACGCTATGATGATTACTGCCTGAACTGGCATTTGACACCACTTGTCGTTCTACGTAGTTACTAAACGAACTAGAAGTTCCCTGAAGTTACAAGGCGGGCTGGAAATTCTCTTAAGTTACAATGAGTTTGAAAATCTCTCAGTTTTATATAGTTGTGTAGCATTCAGACATTTCTGAGGAGTCGTTTTTTGGTGTTGATCGTGGTTGCACGGGCGATCACAATTGTTTAGATAAAATTGCATGCGTAGGTACAGCGCAATTACTAATCACACAGAGTGGTAGTCAACGTAATTGAGGCAAATGCTATACATTGATATGCACGCACTGAACAAGAGAGTTTATGAGAGTACATCCGCTGTAAGGCGATCTGGAGCCTAGTGGCGTTTTGGCGGAGGCGGTGTGAGATCAAGTGCTGGGGCTGAGGTGACGCTACTGTTTTAATGTAAGTGTATGTGTGTGTTTGGGCGGGTCGGAATGTAGTGAGAAATATCGTTAGGCCACAGAGTTTCTCCGTGTGAGCGTGGCTAGGCACCAGATTGACTCCGCCCTTCTTGTCCGACGTGATTGCGCTGATTTCGAACCCCTTGGAAGGGCCGCGTATCTGCGTATGAGCGAGGCAGGGTGCCTGAGGGGCGCTGGAACGTCAGGATAGATTTGCGGCGCGTCCTACTGGCGCGGGTAAGAAATGCGGCTGCGTTCTACTGTTTTATGATTTAACATTGACCTGTTTTCGGGAAACTATACGTGGAATTATTTAAAGCACATGTTTTCACAAATACAATAATGGGAACAACTGGGAACAAATGTTGGAACAAATTGGCGCCGATGTAAATAATATGAGAAAAAAGTCAATAAAATTAAGCTTTTGTTATTTTTGAAAAAACAAAAGGATAGAGCAATATGCCATTTATGCAATTTGGTGGAGTGCATTTAGCACTACCTCTACCAAAAGTGAAAAGAAAACATTTGGAGACATTTTTGAGAAAATCTAGTTTTGTAATTTGTTTAAAATTGCAAATATTGCATTCAATAGTGCTAAAAAACTACTATTTTTAAAAAAATGCACATGACCTTAATGAAAGCCCTAATTATCGACTTCAAATTTTATTTGAAGGAAATATCTCTATCTTCAATTTTGTAATTATAGGAAGACGCCGAAAAAATGCAAATTTTGAATATTTTCTTAACTTTAGAGATGGCATTGAAAATTGGACCTATATAATTGTATTTTACTCTATTATTACAAGAACTTTAAAGACAAAGTTTTGAACTGTTTGGAGAAAATTTTATAACACTTTCTGAAGGGTTTAGAATAAAGTACCTCCACATTTAAAAAACAAGTTTTTCAAAATCTCAAAGCATCGACTCGAGCTGGAGGGACAGGTGTTTCTTCAATTTGGAAAAAATCCTACGCGTGATTTTGGCCCTAGTGTTTACAGACGGACTATTCGGTATCAAGGGACCTGAAAACGTGTGCGTTGAAATATTCGTTTCCGCCACGCCATTAATACAGGTATTATTATTATTATTATTATTATTATTATTATTATTATTATTATTATTATTATTATTATTATGGAAATCTCGAAATCGATTTTCCTCAGCTTTAGATAACTTTATACTACGTGTATTACTCCGTATATACGTACGTGTATGAGAAAGTAAAAATAATTACAACTAATTCTAAACAGCAACTTACCAAAAAATTTTAAAAACTATTAAAAGTGCATTGTTGTTACTAGTCACATTTCTATGAAATAAATATAATTTAAAAATAAAAAATAATTATTCTTTAGAATAAATTGTCGACACTGTTTACTATCGATATATACGATAAACATACAATTATAAGTTTGAATATTTTTCCTACCTTTAAATTCATGGAGGCCAAAATCTGCGATCTGAAGCACCCAGCGACTGTCCACCAAGCAATTTGACGAATGTAAATTGCCATGCGAAACTATATCGCTATCGTGAAGGTAAATGAGACCCTGTACAAAAAGCATTTTAAAATATAAATATTTTCATAGTCCATATAATAAACATACACGAACCACCGAACACGTGTACATATATATATATATATATATATATATATATATATATATATATATATATATATATTGAAACGAAATACGTTTCTGTAATTAGAACAATTAAAATGATCACTAATTACAAATTAAAATAAAGTACAGGAGTTGATCAGCGCAGTAGCGCCGCCGCCGCCACGTTGGTGGGGGGGAAATCGGGGGGGAAAACGGCGAGGCGAGCGACGGTTAGTGGTGCGCGGAGAGGCCTCGAGTGAAGCACGGACGTGCAGTGCTGTGTCCAAGAGATTTATTGTCGTTGTTAAGTGCAATTCGGACTGAGTGTGGCCGTTGAGTGTGGAACCAGGTTGATAAGGATTAACAATCAAATGATTAGTGGAAGTAGAATTGCGCACAAGAACTGATAAAAACCAATAAGAAAGGAAAACGTGTGACCGGTGGGGCACGGGACATTATCCCGCCCTGGTATAATGTAACAGTGGGCAGTATTGTATGGACATCCGCGCAAAGTTGAGGAAGGTCGCTGAAAAGACTAGAACAGCCGACGAACATCAATCACGCGTCGTGCGTTCCAGTACCCGTGAAACATTGTTCACAACGGCTGGAGTGGACCCTGGCAAATTAATCGGCCGTTACGTTGGGACAGAGGAGTTGGTCGCCGAGGGAGCGCGAATTCCCGGCGGACTTCGGGGCGAACCGAAGATTGCCGAAGACCCCGCCGCCGTTGCCACGACGGCCCCGCTCGCCTCCAGAGAAAGCAGGTGGTTTTTAAAATATCAGGTAGCGTTCACCGTGATCTTGTTTCCAAGGCCTGCGCATTGCGATTTGTAAATACTATTTGTAAAGTGTGTTCTCTGATCATTAAAATATTTAGATGTGCAAAAGAATTTATAATGAATATCTTCCTATGCTCCGCCAAATTCCTGGAGACCCATTCACGAAAATGTACCTGTCCCTTGCGTAATTTATTAGTCGTGAAAGTACCGCTTCCCAGGCACGTCACAATATATATATATATATATGTATTTATGTATATGTATGTATGTATATATATATATATATATATATATATATATATATATATATATATATATACATATATACACATATATATGCGCAAAGATAAAGATAATAGAAATTATAAACAAGGTATATTATTGAACATAAAATACATTCAACCAAATAATAATGCGCGTCTCCAAATTCCTTGCGCCCCCAGGTTCAATTAAGCGATTCTTTTATTTCGCGCCCATTGTAATTGGACGAAATGTCACAGCGGCCCATGATTATCGCTTGGCACCAAGGGACTCCGTCAACACTGTTTACGGTTGAGTCGTCCACACTTTAATACGTGGAAGTCGTCGTGAGCTCGCTTGTCAAACGGTGTAAGAAAATGGTATGAGCTGTTACTCGCTTCTGAAGAACATTCGAAGACATTTTCCATACGTAGCACTCAGCTAAATCGGCGAGATTCAGTATTCCCGGTAACTTAAAAGCTCAGTACAGAACTTCCGGTTATTTTTATTTGATACATTTAAGACGTTTCTACAATTTTTCTTGTGTTTCTCATTTTTATTTTTTCTGCCCTTTTACTACTATAAATTCTTTCTCTATACCTTATTAGGCATGGTCCCTCTCGATCCGACGTTACAACTGCTGTAGCCCAAATCTGTTTTGTGGGTCTTTAAAACCGATAAGTCATATGACGACAAAACGTCTGTCTGTCAGCCTGTGAACAACGCTAGCGGATAGGTAATCAGGTTCATTCAGGTAATTTTGTTCCAAATTGATATTCTGCAATCGATCTGGCTGATGTCACGGCCACTGTAATATAAAAAAGATATTTTAATTTTAGGGGGTACTTTACGTTAATCACTTGGAACATTTTTCAATTTATTTAAAAAATAAGGCTCCATCGTTTTTAATAAAAAATTGTACGATAGTGTGAAGTACGTTTAAGAAAATAGGGGAGGAAGTGTTAAAAACCCTTTTTTTTGGCAAATTGCAAAAGTTCCAAAGTTTTTTCGAAGTCTTTCTACAAATAAAACATTAAATGTGGGGATTTTTTCCCTTAATGAAGTCTTTTACTTAAAGATAGATTTTAAAATAAGGTTACATTTTCGAAGATTTGAGTACTTTTCGCGTAATTTTGCTGGTGAAAAACTACGCGCTGTTTTAGCACCACTAATAATTTAAAACTTTAGCGAGAAATTAATAGTTTCTGAAAATGTTTGGGGGGAGAAAGTTTCCCTCATTCATCCTCATGGATTTGCGTCTGCAATATTTGACTTGAAGACCCGAAAATTTCAGTATAAAAATTCTACTATATCCTTTCCGTCAATTACTTTCTTCAGTAACAAAATGAATTTATGTAAGTTTAAGGAGAAGACGGTTCATTTGGATTTGAATTCATTTACATGGTACATTTGGATTTGAATTTACAGTTTCACACATGTTCATATAATCACATGCTATGCAGGCACTCTGTTAATTATACTGTAACTAGCTGACCCGGCAGACTTCGTACTTCCTCAACGATAAATAAAAGACATAAACTTTCGTATAAAATTTTAAAACAAACAAATCGAATCCGTATTTAATAAAAAAGCATTTTTTGAATAAAGCATGAAGTTTTATTATTATTTTCGACACATCATGTTCCTTACATACAAAACAGAGTTTTTCTGAAATGCTGGCTATTTTTAAGGTTTAAATTTTATATTTACAGTCACACAGTTATGAAACAGTCTGTTTAAAGTTCTTCATATAAAGAACCCCCAAACATTAATGAAAGTTTTTCAAAATTGTAGTGCTTTGACTCAGGTGAAATAGACAGGGGTTTCTTCATTTTCGAAAACTTCCTACGCATGGTTTAGGCGATCACTGATAAGAATGTTGAAATGTAGCTTTACGATTTGTATTTACAGATGTGGCCAAATAATTGAACTAAATATTTTTGCTTGACTTAATGGATAATTGTGTGTATTGGGAAGCATCTACCTAAGTAATTGTTTGAAGTGTAATGACTGTCATTGGTACTGGAAATGTATACATAGTTAATGGTATAATGAGGCATAACAAATACGTAGAGGTCCTAAGAACAAAGAGTTCCCTCTAATAAATGTGTGATTTGAAAAAAAAAAAACAACAAAAAAACAATGCATATTCATGTATGACTATGTGACATATCAAATTGAAATCAAAAATTTGAAAAGAAAATTGAAAAATATTCGTATCTTCCAGACATTGTTCAGCGTCTGATTCAATAGTCTGCAAATATTCGTGACACGAATTCCATTGAAAATATGCGTTCTACAGTTAGAATAAACTGAAGAAAAGATGTAAAACTGAACCAAACTTACTGAATTGAAACCAGCTCATAAAATAACTCCTATATATCAGGCAAAATGATCCGAGAATTGAAATAATTGATTTTCATCCTGTATCAAAACAAATATTTAAATCATAAAGTACGGCATGATTATATAACATTAAACATGTGTACACAACTTTTGTTGTCAAGGTCTATGTTCGCTAGTACATCTTTGTCTCATTCAATAATACTAGTCTAATAATTTGGCCACCTGTGTATATTAGAACTCATTTTCGTGAGAATATATTCTCACCAATGCAACCGTGATCTTCAAATATTTAAATTCACCGCGCATGCATCAGTGCCAGCGCGCGCTCTGGGAAGGCCACTGGAGTTGCAGCAAGTACGGTCCAAGAACCTCGAGACAGGAGTGCGAGTCTTAGTTACTAGCGGTGCCTACAATTTAATAGGCCCGTAAGCGCAAAGAGGGCAGTCCAAGTAACAGTGAGTCGGAAAGGATCGACAGTGAATGAGTGCGTCTGGTGAAGCGAAGTGACTACGTGGTTGTGCCCCGTTGATATCTGGCGTCCGTGCTGCGTATACAGACGTTTGGTTAATGGCTTTAGGAAATTGAATTTGGTTTTTTTCTCCCGACGATCTGACAAGAAGCAATGTTTTGGTACAAGTGTATATATGTTATCATTGTAACGAAGTTCACAATAAAATGTTTGTTTTTGTTGCGTGTGTGTAACTTAATTTGAATTCATCAGTATAAAACACACATCAGAATTCACAAAACATTTCTCGACAAAAGATAAATTTAGAGTGGAAAATATGTTAGATATCGAAATGAAGGAATGTGTCAGTTACTATCAGGGACAAGTTCCAATACTGAAAAAAAATCCTTGAAATTCAGGACATTTTATGAAACAAAGAAATGCACACCCTGTGGGGATCGGGGATTTTCAAAGAGCGACGACTAATCAAAGAGGCAACGTTACCTTGAGGAGGTCAGCTACGAGCGACGAGACGAACATGGCGTCGAGGTGCAGATCCTCGTTGGCGAGCACATCGCGCAGGCTACCCCTGGCGCAGTAAGCGTAGAGCAGTGCCACGGCGCCGTGCTCGACGCTGGCGCCCACGAACGGCAGCAGGTTCTCATGGCGCGCCTCGCGGATCTTCGCACACGGCCACGCGCACTCGCACACCCGTTCACGCGAACCACACGCGTGAAAGCGCGCACAGAAGAATGCATAAAAGCCCGCACAAACCATGCTCCAAAGCGTGCACACAAGAGTGCAGGAAAACATTCTCAACAGCATGCACAAAAAGCAGCCGAAGCGTACACAAAAGAAAGCAGAATGCTAGAAAGAAACTGCTAAATGGGATGGATTTTCAAGGGCGGTTAATCTTAAGGTGTCTAAAAGAACCCTGAATAGAACCCGACATAATTAAATCGTGTTCATTTCCATTCATAATCGGATCCTATACTTGCAGAGCAAAGAAACGTCGCGAGTAATGAATGAAATGCAGTTCGAAACCACAAACCTCTCAATTCCTGACTAACATTTGATTACCAGAAACTAAAATCTTTGTTGCAGTTTTTCATTACTCAAATCCTTAAAATCTTTGCGAAAACTACACAACCAAAATTTCATTGTTCTCCCTCCTCATGATAACATTTGAATGTTTTACGTTTCTTTTTAATATACTATTTTTACTTTCTCTTTCTTAAGAAGGAAATTCTTAAGAAAAAAACAACAACAAATTCTTGGCGGAAAAACTCTTATTACAGGGCCCTGCTAACAAAAAAGTGGATAAATCTAGATGCTAAATAAAACAAAACTCTAACGAAGTGTTACCATAATTCCTGTTTTGTTCCAAAGTCCTGTTTTCAATCCTTCATATCGAAAGTCAATTGACGACAAAACGTCTGTCTGTGAACAACTAGCGGCTAAACCGATTAGCCGTTTTTTATTTTTTTTTATTTTTTTTATTTTTTTTCAGTATTGGTATTCCGCATTAGATCTGACTGATGTCGCGGCTCCTTCAATTTGAAACATATATTTGTATTTTAGAGGGTACTTTACATCAAGTCCCTGAGATATTTTAAAAATTTTAATAGAAAATACAGCCTTTGATTTTGAGTAAATATCGTTGTTGGATTATCTTAAAGCCGTTTAAGAGTTTGGCGCAGGTTTCACGTTTGAAAACCCTCATTTTTCGAATATTGAAAAAAATGTAAACTTTCGGGTCTTTCTACAACTAAAAGAAATATAATGATCTATTCCCTTAATAAAATGCTGATGATTGATAGCCTGAAGGACATTTAAGAAAATGGAATAGGTCTCATATTGGTTGAGAACTCTAATTTTTCGACATTTGAAAAATTTCATAATTTATTTGGAGCCTTCTTATGACTACAATTATAAGGGTTTTTTTCTAATTGAAATATATTATTCAAATACAGATTTTAAAATAATGTCATTATGAATTTTTCGAAACAATGTGAATTTTTGAAGTAATTGGGCGTCAAAGTTAGTCGCTTGCTCTGAAAGTACTGAATTTCTTGATCGTAATTTTAGATGTTTTGAGGCAGTTGGATGCTACGTAAGTTAGTAAGTGTATAGTATTTCATTTCCTTTGATTAGTTTCTTACATTGAATTTTTTGTTACACAGTTATAAATTAATCTTTTATTTAAATTTATTTAAAACCTATTAGAAATAAACACGAAATAAAGATTGCTAGCCTTCAGCCGCCCGCTCCCAATTTACGCAGTTGGATGCTACGTAAGCTAGAATTTGTATATTATTTCACATTTCATTTTAATATTAGTATTTATATTATATTTATGTTATTTCATTTTATTGAGTCTTTTAACTGTGTTAAATATGAAAACGAATAGATGAGAAATCACTGTGGTCGTAGTTACCTACGTTGTAACGTCCCAAGAATAATACAATAATGACGGCTGCTTTTCGATCGCGGAAACAAAAACGAATACTTTATATATTTTTTTTATTATTTTTATATATTTGTAGAATATAACAATACCATACAGTTTAATAATTACTATTATATCTTTTTCGATCTATTTGTTTTCTAACGCAATCGGTGTCGTATTATTTATTAACTTTTTAATATTTTATTTTCTTGCATTCTGCTTATTTTTCATACCAAATGTTCTACGATTTCAAATGAGTTGAATGAGAAAATTTCAAACTATAAAAAAAATTGGAGAGAAATTGTGAGATAAATAGTATTACATAACCATTACTAATGGAGAGAAAGTATGTGCTGTTTTAATATCACTAGTTTCTATACAAGCGAAAACAATAATTATATTTAGTAGTAATATTGTAACAAATTTTGTAATATTGAGACAATTTACAATTTATTATTTTTTATATATCACCATAAAGATTGGACGGATCAACATTCACAATTCAAACTTTGGATAACACTTACCAGCAAACATGTAACATTTAACTACTCTTGCCAGTCCGGATGGCCGAGATCGCTAAGGCAGAACTGCCGTCGTGATTTTCAACCGAAAGCTCGCGGATTCGAGTCCCGCCTCGGGCATGGTTGAACTGTGTTCGTCCTTTCACCCCGTATCATCATCATATCGTGTCATCCTCATAGTTACCATACCGTTACACGCAATAGTGATCGCTTATGACCTACAAGTTGAAGCGACCTTAAATAACAAAAAAGTGCTACACATAATACATCTTATAGAGTATGGAAAACAAAGAATCTTGTCCAAACATATTAACAATAGCATAAAAAAGGATAAATATAAAGACAAATGAAACATTAGAGAATATTAACTTAATTTTTTTTTAAATGTTGAATTTAGAAATTAAAGAATTCTCCATTCAATTAAAATTATTATATCAACAAAACCATACAAATGGAACATAACACTGAGAAAATATATGCCTACTTTTGAATACAACACATTCTATAACACACAAAGGCATGCACTTGATAAGTATTATAATATAGTCTATCATAGGAAGAACAAGAAAGTTGACACAATATTGTCCAAAAATTATAACAATACTTTACAATCCAATAAATCTTTCATAAATCTCAAAGATGTTCACATTCCATGTAATGTAACTTACTGTCTTTGAAAGACAGCTTTAACAATTCTCACACTAATATATGAAAAGTCTAAAAAAAGAATTCGTTAAGGAATTATAATTTGGTTTCAAAAATATCAAACATATTAATGAGGAGACAATAAGAAATAATTAGCATAATTAAATGCAAAAACAATAAGAAAGTTTCAAACAATAACCATTCTATACTTATTACCTACAAAAACGTTACCAAGAGACATTATTTAAAATAATAATAAAAAAATAATAATTACTGAGGAAGAAAAGGGAGGGGTTCAATACTACTATCACTATAGAAGAATATTACAATAAAGTAAGGAATATTGTAGCGGTACAGAATTATTAGGATAAATTAAATTAAGTAAAGCAGACCTTAGACATTTTTTACTGAAGAAAAACATACGGCGTCACGCGCGCAGCCCCCCTTCTTGCAACAGTCCCCTGACCCATTTCGAATGTTTATGACACCCCACCCAACAACCGAAGAAGGGTAACTTGTAAAGCGTCAGCCACATCTGGAATACTTCCGAAACGCCTGTCATGGTGATAGGGGAAACCCGAAGCAATAATTCAGTAGCCGAGAAGCCCCTTCAGAGACGTGACCTACTTTTGAAACAGAGAATGGAAAATTCCTATACTCCGCCGGGGCTCTATTGGCCAAATTTAGTGTACAACGCCATCACCTTCAGCCAATAGCGACGAGACCGTTGTAGGGAGCAAGAACATATGAGGAAAAAAATTGTGGGGATAAAAGTTAACTTAGTGCATTTGTGAGAAACAAAAATGACAGTTGAGAGAGACTTCTCTGGGGTGGGAGCCAGTCGCGGAGAGAGGCGAGTGCGCCTCCGAAGACACTTTGTTAAAATTACAGTTGAGAGAAAGACTTCTCTGGGGTGCCGGAATTCTCAGTGAGAATTTTAGAGGAAGTGCAAAAGCACTTCAAAAGTAAATTGTCGAATCCTTTGTCACTGCGTATTCGCTGCAGGACTTCGCAATTACTGAAATTTTTATTCGAGAGGAATCGCATGCGCAGAGGGAGACATTGTTGTGTGCTCCGCACCTGCGATCGGGGGCGGTATGATGACCCATCTGCTGACGTCACGGACGGCCGCCAGACGCCACTGACCGCCACTGCCGCTGTTGGTGAGGGCGTGCGCTCCGAATGAATTCCTGCGAAGGTCGCCTACCGCGCCACCCGGGCCTACAGAACATCTGCCACGGAGGGTTTTCAGGCAATGTAACTGGGGGCAATAAACCTTTTGAAATATTGTCAAAGCGGTGCTGCGCCAAGGCACAAGAAAGGTCCTCAGGGACAACGCTGTAAATCTTAGCTATAAATTTTATTTGTACTCTTCTCTAGTTGTAAGCCTTCCTTCAATTTTAATCTCTGTTTCTTTTCTTTTTTTATTCAATATTTTCTCTCCTTTATTTTTATTAATGTAACATCCCTGGTACAGTTTGTCCAGGAATAAGCTTTGTCTTGTTACCAGTGATCAAATTGTTTATTTTGAATATCCATTAATTTCGTTAATAATTCCTTCCATCACCTAATCTTAAATTAGGCAAAGGAAACTGTTACAATTGGCTAGTTTTACACGAGTAAAGGGAATAGGACCGACTGAGCTATAACCGGGCCGCTAACCGCGCATTTCCCTTCGCCGGGAGATGAGTGGAGGTGTTACAATATGTTAAATGACAGCAGATGTGGCCCGTGAACAAATGTCAGGTAAAACATCACTGAACAGCGGCACGGGAAGAAGTCATGCGGGCTATGACCTACCTCAATCCGAATTTTTGTACTTTTATTCAATGTATCCTAAACAGCTATCTCACTTATACTATTACATTCCAAACCCTTATTTCTGTGAAAAACACTCGGACGTAATTTCAAAATATCCAGGTTCTAAAAAGTGTAATTTTTAATTAACTATATGAAGAATGTATGTAACTTTTTTCCAGACACTTAAGATTTACTAAATTACATATATAGTCATTTTCATGATTTTGTAAAACAAAAACTCTCGGAATGTATTCTTACCATCAGGT